TGGGGGGGGGGGGGATTCTGTAACACCACGCCAGCAGAGGGAGCCCTCGCCCGAGTACTGACTGGTACCACTCCCTCTGCTGCTTCTGTGATCACTTCCTGTTTGGCAGCCATTTAAGCATGGCCAGGCCAAACAGGCCTTTGCAAAGTATTGCCAGTTCCACTGCCTTACCGAGCATTTTCATTGTCTTGTTTTGATTGCTACGTGTATGATTTATCGCCTGTTTCTCTGGATTTTGCCTTTTGGATTACCCTCGTGTGTGTTTGCTGGTTGGACTGATTACTGTGATTTTGACTTATTTGCCTGTGACCACGACTCTGATTTCTGCCCCACGTTTTGGATTGTTGAACTGTTTGCTCATTAAAATTCTGCAAATGGTTAACACAGTCTCGAACTCACCCTCATTACAGAAATACACTGGATAACAAGACAAAAATATTTACAGTCCAACACTATTGGTGGCTGCAAAAAATGAAATCCTGCCTTTAAATCCAAAGAACCAATCACTTTAATTTTTTTTTTTGTTACTGAAACATAAGCTTGGCAGGCTGCTTTGGAGATGACTTTTATTCCCCATTCAACAGGCCTGGTCCTAGCATGACTACAAATAGTGCCGCAGAATAAACCAACTCCCTTCAGAGGACTTTGACAGAAACCACACTACTCACGTGGTAAAGAGAGGTGGAGTCTGGGTTGGGCGTGTTCATGAATTCCTGACGGAGAACCTCCATTTGGAGGGTGGGGAGAAGGGCGTAGTGGGTGGGGCTCCCGCTCTTCTCGCTCTTCTTCTTGCCCCGTTTTCCCATGTCTCTCTTCATGCTGCGCCCTGCTAGTACGGCAGCCTTCTCATCACTTACATACCGCAACAGAGAGTTTTCTGAGAGAGCAAGAAAGAACGGTATCTTTAGTTGCCAGTACCTGGTGAATATATGCATATGTCAACAAAGCTTTGTGTTTCATGGAAGAAAGTAAGTCATATGGGTGAAAAACATGAGGGTGAGTAAATGATGACAGAATTTTAATTTTTAAGTGAACTATCCCTTTAAATGCTTTGCACAACTATCGTTGTGCAAAGTGTTATAGTTGTTTAATCGTTTAACTGCAACCGTTTGATTAATACTTAAACTGAAAGGTTACACAACCCCTGATGCAGAGGAAAATATTTTTTCCAACAATGTTACCATGTTTTATATGGTTAATCGGGCATTATAAATTTTGTTTGGCATGTTCAGTAAATCAAAATTACATTTGTACATCCAGTCCTTCTCAAACAGTACGGCCATTTTCCAGGCTGTAGTACTGTCTCAAATCACTGAATAAGCTCGCATCAGTATTTCATCAATCAAGCATCCCAAACCCTTCTCGAAATACTCCAAACCTCAATTGGCCAATCACAATGATTCATTCCCTCAATAGAGGTCTATCATTAGCACTACATAAGCCTGTGCGCTCTTCCCAAATCAGTCTAATCCAATCAAACTCTATAAGCTTATTCTTGCCTAATGAGCATAACAAGCCGATTGGTCACAGCCATATTAGCGAGCCAAACCAACGGGCTCCCAGCAGCCCTGATCTATGCTCGTCCTTTGATTTAGGAACCACCGCATCCATTGTTGGGTTTCCCTTCTCCCACGCCCATGTCCACCGTTGCCCGGCAGCAGCCAATGGGACGTGAAACACTCAGGAGAGCTTCTGTCAGAGTTTCCATGGCAACAGCATGCTTCCAGAAGAAGTTCCCTCTTCTTTACGGCTCGGTTTCCCTCACGCTTGTGGAAAAGTTGAAGATGTGGCAGATTTTAAATTGCATATGTTCATCCAGGCAGGGTACACAACCTTGTAGAGTCATTATAAATCATTATTTAATTAATTGTAACTTCTTGAGTTACAAAAATTGAATGAAACACAGTATAAAACTCATTAAATTGGACAAGAAGTGGATCGATCTATAATGTCAGTCTGGATGATCCATCAGTAACAATGTACCTTTATGTAGGGCTGCACAATTAAACAAAATATAAAATGAATGGCTTAGTACAATTATTAAAATGCAAAGGCTGCAATTTAATTCCATAAATATATGCACTGTGTGTGAGTGAAGCGCAGCACTGAGTTCATTTATTGTTATGGGTTCATTTGGTACGGTTATGAGTTCATTTGGTTAACATTTGAAAATTCAAATATTAAGGCCACAATAAATAATAATATTGTAATTTTACAGTTGAATTGTAATATAAAATGATTATGATTATGATTATTATTATTACGATTAAATACTTGATATTTTATTGTACATTAAAATAGTATTACTGTAATAATTTTATTATTAATATTTAATATTTTTTCAATAATACTTTATTAATTAATAATAATAATATTTAATAATAATAATAATAGCCAAACTGCGCAGCAATTACAACATTTCTTATTTTGTTTCATATTTTTATTCTGTTATAATAATAACAACAATAATAATAATAATAATTAGTAGTAGTTGTAGTAGTAGTAGTAGTAGTAGTAGTAGTAGTAGCAGTAGCAGTAGTATATAGTCATACTGATATATAATCACAAAAATTTTTTTCCCAAACTGTGCAGCTCTACACACAAGTGCAGCAAGTCTGGAGGTTTTTTTATTTATTTATTTATTTTAAATCAAATTTTAAATCACAATTGCAATTTTTATCCCCCAAAAAATACAATTATATTTTTCCCAAATTCAGCAGCCCTTCTCTTTTATCATTGTTTTTTGAAAAGCAAACCCCAAAACTGAATGTGTGAATTCTCTCAATTTTGAATGCATTGCCAACAATTCAGAGGATGACTTTAGTATTATTATTAGATTTTTTTTACATTCTGACAGTAAAAAAAAAAAACCCCCGGAATGACAAATTACCAAGATTTCCCAGTTGTGGTTGACCTTAATACATCTTTATCCTTCCTGACCCTCCCTCTACTCTCACATTCTTCACAATCTTCTTCCTACATCACTCTCGCAATCTCCTTTGAGTGCCTCTTTCTTCTTTTACCATCTTTCTTACTCTCAGCTAAACTCCATCTGGCAGCCTCACCACCAGCATTTTCTCCACAGCATTTTAAGGAAAAGAAGGAACCGCAGAAAGCAAGGAAATAAGAGAGATATCAAGGCGCTAATCTCCACACAATGCGGATAGACAGAGCTGCTTAAACGGGATCAAATAGCAGCCAGGAGACACAGCCAGGTGATCATCCACCCCCTCACTCAAAAACACACATTTAATGACACATAAGTGCCACAAAGAAGAGAGAAGAGAGAAGAGAGAAGAGAGAAGAGAGGGGTTTGGGCAACAGCAAGTCCTGGAAAAGATCACCGAAAGAAAACAAACACGTTAGTGTGGGAAAGCAGTAAGACACGAGATGAGTGAGTCAAAACAAAAGATGCTGCACCCGCAGCCTCAATGAAGATGGTGATGAGGAAGTGACGAATACTGACTAACCAGCCAAACTTTAACCCTGAGCTCATAATAAAATAACACAATATGTAAAATGTAGATGAAAGAGCTTCATTGATACTTTCTTTCTATGTTCTTGCAGTCCAACTATTTCTGTCAGGAGTTCTGGACTGTATTTCTAAAGCAGCAGCCAATTAAGACTGTCGCGGGCCCAGCGCACACTGGCTCTGTGTTGGTGCTCAGAGACTGCCACTGTTATCCTGTCACTGCATGCAGTGCGGCCACAGGAAGTAATCAGCAATGCCCAGCGCACTTCAGAGCCACCGTGCACCGAGGAGAATTAGATCCATGGAAAAGAGCTCAGCTAAACTTCACTCCTGAATAAGAGCCATGAGAATGTAATAAAGCAACAGTGAGAAAGAATGAAGGGAATTCCAGGCAGAATGAGAGCAAAAAAGAGAAGAAAGATCAACAGATGATCAAAAGATGCATTCTAAAGTGAAGATTAAACCTACTCAAGATATTCTGGACAAATATTAAAAAATATATTAAACTTTACTTAAATAAGCAATAATAATAATTTTGTTAATATTTATAAATTGTATTAGTATTTATGTTATTCTATTTTTACTTTGAATAAAACAGATATGAATGTTCCTGTTTATTTTGTGCAATTCATCAGTGTATATTCTAAAAAAAAATCTTCAATTTCTAATCTTCCATTAAAATGTAATAACGTTCTCCATCTCTTTTTCTGCTGATGTAACCAAGGCCATGTGAATGGGGAAGCATAATGATGAATCTGAACAAAATAGCTGACCATATTTGTGTCTGAAAATGTAAATTACTCTACATTAACTTCTTGTCTTTAGAATTGTTGCATAAAAGCATTTTTGCTCATCTGATACTGATTTAATATCAGTCCACTTTTCACAATTCAATAAAACTCTGATGGTTACAATCAAGAAAGAGATGCTGGAATAAAAATTCAAGGGGTTTCAGCAGTTCCCTGCAGTAGGACTGTCAGGATTCTGGACTGTTCTGTGTAGTGTTTTGCCCCGTTTCTGTTCCTGTTTTTCCTTATTTGGTCATGTTCCTGTCCTCGTTTAGTTTGATTATGATTCCTGACACCTGTGTTTAGTAATTATCCCTTGTATTTAAGTTCCTGTTTGTTCAGTCTTCCTTTGTTGGTTCTACTCGTTGGATGTTGTGTAATTCCCCTGTCTTTCCAAGGATTAAAGACTGTTTATGCACTCCACGTCTCCTTGTTCCTCGTTCCGCGCTCCTCCCAGCACAGATCGTGACAGAAGAACTGACCTAAAACAGTAACCTCCATGTGTCTACCCTCCGTTTTTGTTTTCGTGTTTTTTCCCTCAGTGTTTTGTTTCCGTTGTGGTTCTATGGATCCCCTCCTTCGCCCCGAATTCCTCCTCCTCCTGCTGGAGCAGGG